AAGTACAATAGCTAATGTTAGTTGTTTGGATTCCATGAATGTATTCATGTTTCTTCTGGCTCAAATAATACCATAAGTTGATTGTATTTTGAGGTAGCTAATCCTTTCGTAGATATTTCAGTTATTACTATTACTACTGAATCTATGACATAGTGAGATTTCTGTCAGTGAAAAGATTAGAAGCTAGATAAATACGTAGCCGATACTAATTAAAGGAATTCTTGTGTTGGATGGAGATTGTCCTAGATGATCTCTGATCTCTTCAACTCAAGAATACATTTCTGTAAAAATCCTCCAAATATTGAGGTTTAACATTTTAAGGCTAACAGAATAGCCAAACACTTAGAACCACCTGGAAACGTATTTGAAAGTATAAGGAACTCAGGACTTACCTTCTATAAACTTTCCATACCAGTACTTCTGAAGGAATACCAGAGGTCCCTGCAAATTCATTAGTGGGAAAAAAACTCATGTGCTTTCTCAAAAATCACCAATAGGACTCACCCATGCCAACATTTCCAAAAGTATTTTCCATGTTGCTGTACAAAATGCTCTGCCAATATAGCTAGAGCTTTGATCTCTCCCCTTGTTCTACCCTATTTTAGAGATTACACATTTTTCTTATATTGTTAAGCTGCCACCATATAAATAGCTCACTTGTTGAGTAGTGAGATTATACAGGAGGTAATTTTCTTCACTATCACTATATTCTTTTTTCTTTTCTTTTCTTTTTTTTTTTTTGGTTGAGAAAGCAGACAAAAGTTTTGTGTATTGTATAGATAATAAAATCATGTTGTAGATATTTTTATTCTAAAATATATTTTATGTATGTATTTATATATGTATTTGATGTCTCTTATGTTGAAAAGTGTCATATAAAACATCCATTAAAATCTGTATTAGTATTAAACACATGTAAGAATAGCTATAGCTGCTCTAAAACCACAAAAGTTGTTTATAAATTCCATAATATTTTGTAAAACATTTTCATTACAGAAAACATTTTGTCATAGCCTTACAGAAAAGTCTGGCCTGGAATTATAGTACAGGTAAAGCAGATGTTAATTGGTCATGCCCAGTATTTCTGAGATAGTGGCAGGACTTTCTTTGCCTCTGCAAATTACCCTAAACACACTTAGCACCTTGGCAGAGTACCAAAGAGTTGCCAAGTTCATACTTGACCTTGCCTGAATATTAAGGTGGTTACTTAGCTCATGAATAATAGCATTTGTGAGATCAAGGTCACAAGTCTGATGGTTGTATATGCCAGTGTCATTTTTATTCCAGACCTGCAGTGGCATTTTTAGTCTCAGCTAGTTTTATTGCAAATATAGGTCATCGCTAGAAGGCCTAGAGAGAAAGAATTCAGACTCATCACAACTACTTGTGGGACAAAAAGAGACCATTAAAACATTCATTCGTTTATAGAACTGCCTTTATATAACCAAGATTATTGTTAGGTGAAGAGCTGGAGGAACTATGGACACAAAAGGTCAAGAAAGTCACAACTGAAAATATCAGCATAAAGCACTGAAATGCGTGGTTTCAAATGCTCACCGGAAAGCTATGGAAATTCTCAAGAATCTCTAAGAAAGCCCTACCACCAATCTCAAAATCTCACTGAGAAGCTGCTGTGTGACTCACTCTCTACCCATATGCCTGGTTGCAACTGCCTTCCATAGGTAGAATGTACTTCTCTGGCCCAATGTTAGGCTTGCCCCAGATGAACTGCTTTTTACCGGTGGAATATGAGCAATTTGACTTATGCCCATCCAAGGAAGAGCTTTAAGCACCCTCCAGGTGGTTGCATGGTATGGTTAGGTGCTTGCTTCTGCCCCTTACCATGAGAACAATATGTCCCAGCCAGGAGCTAGTCCATCAGCCTCATGCCAGTATAAGATGATGTGTGGAGCAGAGCTAAATCTAGCCAGTTAACTTGAGTGGAGCAGAGCTGCAGCTGATCTGCAGACCCAGAAACAAGAAATAAAGGTGTGTCCTAAGCCATTGAGATTTTGCAGTTGTGTTTGTATTAGTCTACCCCCAGGGAATACTATGCAAGATTTTACATATTCATCTTCTTTATGTATTATTCCCTTCTATACCTGTCTTTAAGATTCTTTTATGTTGAATTAAAGACCAAATTTCTAACTCTAGTTTAATTTCTCTTTATTAAAGTGCTTTCAGTAGATAAACCACGTTAACAGCAATCAACACAAACTTTACTGAGATATTCACAAATAAAAATCATCTATAAATCACTCAGGTAATGTTCTTCTAAACAGTAACAGTAATCACCATTGGACGTTGGTTAATCTGAATTTATTCCTAACCACGCACATGGGTTCTCAAATTGGAAGATTCAGTTACTTTAACATATGGGGCTGGCTGTCAATACCTGAATGCTATCCCAGCAAGTCAGCAAAAAAATGTTGTGATTTGAAACTAATCACTTTTCTTGGTATCTCAGTTTCTCCATCTGCACTGAGAATTAATCTTCCCTTAAGAGAAGACTTGTAAAAAAGTATGAAACGTTAAAGCTCAGCATACTTCTATGCCTCAGAAAGCATTCATGCGCATATTTTTAAAAAGGCAACTTATTTGTTCTTGACACAAATTAAATACTATATGGCTTTAAGAGAAATAGATTGATGACTGCTCTTTCCTTGAAAATTGCCTTTTCAGTTAAACCACATTAAAATAGATTAATAGGATTCATAAACGATATGCTTAGTGAATTACTTTGATTGTGATAAGGACAGCTATCCTACTCAGGTAAAATTTACAAAGTATTTTAAGAAGTGTCATCTATTACATACTTACATTCTTCATTACCTTTCCATATAAGCAGAAGTCCTGCTATCCTAAAGCTCAAAAAGCTAAAATCTGGGGCACCTGGGTGGCTCAGTGGGTTAAAGCCTCTGCCTTTGGCTCAGGTCATGATCCCAGGGTCCTGGGATCAAGCCCCACTTCGGGATTTCTTTGGGATCTCAGCAGGGAGCCTGCTTCCCCCTCTATGCCTGCCTCTGCCTACTTGTGATCTCTGTCAAATAAATAAATAAAATCTTAAAAAAAAAAAAAAGCTAAAATCCAAGCTTTAGTTGGAGTTCTGGTCTAGTTCCTTTGGATATTGTCAATAACTGTATCATGACTTCCAAATGAGACTGTGGTTGACAGAATAAATAAGCCATTTCTTATAAGACCTCCTGGCATAATTAAAGTAGCCTGATGCTATCATAAAAAAGATTCAATAGTGTCCATGACAGGGGGGGAGAACATTTAAAAAAAAAAAAGCTTGAAAATATAGATGACATAATTGTGGGAATAGAAGAGGAAAAAAATGATCCTGATCGAATCAGAAGCTTTTCTAAAAACCTCGTTTCTGGGGGTGCCTGGGTGGCTCAGTGGGTTAAGCTGCTGCCTTCGTCTCAGGTCATGATCTCAGGGTCCTGGGATCGAGTCCCACATTGGGCTCTCTGCTCAGCAGGGAGCCTGCTTCCCTCTCTCTCTCTGCCTGCCTCTCTGTCTACTTGTGATCTCTCTCTGTCAAATCAATAAATAAAATCTTAAAAAACAAAACAAAAAAAAAAACACCTCGTTTCTGCTGAGAAGTATGTGATTTTTTTTTTTTAAGATTTATTTATTTGAGAGAGTGTGTTTGTGTGTGTGTGGGGGGGTGGGCAGAGGAAGACTCCTCAAGCAGACTCCTCACTGAGTGCGGATGCGGGGACTGATCCCATGACCCTGAGGATCATGACTCAGGCCAAAATCAAGAGTCAGACATTTAACTAACTGAGCCATCCAGGCGCTCTGACAAGTATGTGATTCAAACTTCAGTAGAAATTTTTTTCCTCCAAGATTTTACTTGGCAGAGAGAGCAGCAGGCAGAGGGAGAAGCGGGCTCCCTGCAGGGAGCCCAGAGCAGGACTTGATCCCGGACTCTGGGATCATGACCTGAGCCGAAGGCAGATGCTTAACTGACTGAGCCACCCAGGCGTCCTCAAAAGAAGTGTGCAATACTTTTAGGTAAGAACAGTATTACTAAATCTCCATATGACACTTTGAAAGCACTCACAGTAAAAAGGAAAAAAAAATCACTAATCAACATAGAAGAAAAATGGTAAGCTGTAATGCTCTTGCTATTCCATTCAAATAAAAAATAAATTGATCATGAGCACAAATGGACATAGCCATCTCAGTAAATAAAACCTCCTGTAATTACTTGTCATTAAAAAAATGAATTGGATGAAAGGGATAATTTTTTTTACAGTGTACCAGTCATTTGAAGACTGACGTAGCTTCAGAAAAACATGAAACATCCTTAGAGGAGGTCTATTTCAGACTGGCTATAGCAAAGCACTCCATGCCCCATATACAATACACAGAGAAATAATTTTCAGATTGAATATAGATCTCTTCAGTAGTAAAGAAAAAAAACACTTTACATGATATACCTTACTATAACATGCAGTATTTAGGTAACAGTAAATCATCATCCTTTACAAAGAAGGTGCAGGTACTCTAAAATCATCTTTGAGCTAATAATTTTAGAGAGAGGTGTCAAAATTTTTAGTTTAAAATACACACTTAATTTCAAAGCTGGTTTTGCCAAACTTCTTATGGGTCCTAGGAATCCAGGATAAGCAAGAAGGAAATGTTCTCCCTATTTTATGACTTGCCTCTCCCAATACCTATGATGAATGTCATGGGTCAAATGCCATAATAAACTTATTCTCACTCCTGGGGCCAGCAAAGGCTGGCCTGGTTTTGGTTCTGGGCAAGACTAAAGCAGGGAGCGGTCCCACAAAAGAGCCTATCCAGGACTAATCCAGCAGATGTTCAAGGCCAACTTGGCACCCAACTGACCCCAATGCAAGTTGACCAATCTGTTGTGACTCAGGATCCTAGCCTTGTACTATCTCCAGGCCCAAAGCCCCAGAATGGCCCGGGCCATTCAGCTTTCCCCTGAACAAGCACTCTCAGAGCTGGAAACAAAGGCCGAATGGGCAGGGTAGGCAGAGCACCATTTATTGGAGCCAAACCCCATCTATCAGATGTTTTTTTCCTAAGAGCTCAGTGACTCTGGAGCAGCTCCTCCCAACAGATGGGCTGTGAAAACACCTCTCTCTCCAGCCAGAGCTCATATGAATAGTGGAAATCCTCAGGCAGATCCAACCTCTGCCCCAGCACACTCTGCAAGCAATTATCCACAGGTGAAAATTCAGAGTCCTGGGGTTTGTCATACCGGCGGCTGTTAAAAGCCTCAATGTTGGCCCTCAAGGTGCATTCTTCTGCTTGGAAGTCCCATGGCCTGGCATCGATGTCTGTGTTGGGGAAAGAAGAAGAACAATTATACAACTCAGGATTCTGCTCCTCCTACCACAGAGTATATGGTCTATGGGGAAGAACAAATTAAACTCAGAATTACTAAGTACTAAGTGTATATACTTACAAGGTACTAAGTGTATAATATGCTGTCACTTCAGTTTAAAAAATACACATGTATATGCAGAGACTATCTTTGGAAGGGTAGTTTAGAAACATCGCTAACAGTGATTACCTGTCACATTGTTCCATACCTTGCTTTTTATTTAACAACCAGATGTAGTCTAGAAACATCGCTAACAGTGATTACCACTGAGAAGGAAATAAGGTCCCTGAGAGGGTGGACATTTTTTTTAACCTGTACTTTCTTTTCATTATTTCACTTTCTTACTAGATATATGTATTATATTTTCCAAAAAGGCAACTCAATTCCCTTTACTGAGCTTTCCTAGGGCATGGGAGTTACCCATTTGAATGGAATCACCAGCTCTCAAGGAATGGAAAGAGGCAGGAAGAGGTACAACAAGGAGAATCAGAATGGACCAATTACTGAAGGATTTACTGATTGCTTCCCTGTGACCTCTCCCAGCATATGATAAATGTATGTGTCAGCATATGTTAAAATTATAAGGTAAAATCTTTACCTTATTTACCCCACTCAGACACTTATTTCAGGGCTAGAGATATATTTTTCCCAGATCTCTCATGTCCCATACGCAATGGTTTACTCTTTTTTTTTTTTTTAAAGATTTTATTTTTGAAGTGCCTGAGTGGCTCAGTCGGCTAAGCATCTGCCTTCAGCTCAGGTCATGATCCCAGGGTTCTATGAAAGCATGTATGCGCAAGTGGCGGGAGGGGCAGAGGGAGAGAATCTCAAGCAGATTCTCTGCTGAGCCTGGAGCCCCACATGGGGCTTGATCCCATGACCGTAAGATCATGACCTGACCCAAAACCAAGAGTTGGATGCTTAAACAACTGAGCCACCCAGGTCCCCCTAAAATGGATTTTTATAGTTAATATAGGATCTGGGCACATGCTAGAATTTGGGGGCAGTAACCCTAATGTTTGTTATATCAGCACCTGACTATAATTACAACTTTCTTATCCAAACTATGTAACAATTCATATACCAAAGAGTAGAGATAACTCTTTATTTAGTTTCCTTTTTAAAGATTTTATTTTTTTACCTGAGAGATAGATAGCATGAGAGTGAGAGAGAGCATGAGAGGTGGGGAGGGAAGGGCAAAGGGAGAGGGAGAAGCAGACTCCCCAGTGAGCATAGAGCCTGACAGGGGTGGGGGGGGCTTGATCCCAGGATCCTGAGATCATGACTGGAGCTGAAGGCAGACGCTTAACCCACTGAGCCATCCAGGAGCCACTTATTTAATTTTGTTTAAACCCTGGGAAACTCCCGGAGGTCAAGAGCTCTGAGAATACTCACCATTCCCATAAGCCCAGTCATCATTCATGCGGTGGCGTACTTTCTGATAGATGGCTGACATGGTTTTCATGTTACTTTTCCTCCACTGGCGCCCCAGGTACTTGGTCTGTATTTTTAGCAGCTTCAGAACATAAAGTTGCAGCATGGCCTGTTTGACCTTGAGGGCCCGCTTTAAGATTGGAGCTGATTTGAATACCACCAGCATCTACCCGTTTAAAGAGGGGCAGGAGTGAAGAAAGGCAGGTAAGGATCTAAAGTGTCTTGGAACTTCCAACTCACAAACAATTAAGCCAAACTTGACTGGTCTCAGTACCCTGGGGGAGCTTTTGGGAATCCATGGCCTAGGTTCTATTTATATTTAGTCTTCAAGAACATAGAGGAACCACTCCATTTATATGTCACAATTCAAAGTTCCTAATATTCAAAGTATGTGATATAAAGAGCAAAATAATTTTGTCAGCTACACATCCCATTTCTACTCTTACCAGTTTCTTTTGTATCTTCTGGATACATAATTCTATGTACACATATTATTTTTATTAACAAAAACCACAGCCAACTACATATCCTGTCACATTGTTCCATACCTTGCTTTTTATTTAACAATATATCTTGAAAATTATTCCATATCAATAGAATTGCCTCACTCCTTTTTTTTCCTGCCTCATTCTTTTTAATGGTTGGATAATATTCTATTATAAGGATATACCAGTTGGTCCTGTATTCATGGGCTTTAGATTGTTTCCAGTCTTTCATGATTCATGCTGCAATGAATAATCTTAGCCTTGTATCATCTGGGATATGTGCTTATAATCCAATATAAATCCATATAACAATGCTAACTTTCCAACCAGAGCTGCCCTGGAGGAGGGCCCATATTCAGCTCCTTGTAAAGAAATGGACTGGTGAATAAATATCTCACATGGAATAAATGTCCAGAATTAGGTGTTCACCTTATGTAGCATTCAGTGTCTTCCTATAGAGCTCACAAAGCAGGAAGTCCATAAATATTTAAGATTAAAAAAAATGCAGTCAGATGGACACTTCTATGATCTGAAGCCCCACTCACCATGGTTCTGGAATGCTTCCATTTGGTCAGTTTGTTGAGCAGCCTCAGAAGGTTGATACAGGAAAAGAGGTTCCTCCAACAGAATTGATTGTTGTCTCCAGCTTCCTGTAATAAAGCACGCCCACCATTACCTCAACACCTATAAGGCTTTCATTCCCACAGAAGCCTGGAAGTCACTACTGGTAAGTATAGGTGAGGCCTTCCTTATGAAATGCTACCTCCTCACCATTCTGCTCTTCATACACTAAGGTCTCAAAGCATGCAATATACTTCATCTGAAAACAGACAGCTGCCAAGCCTGGAAGGCTAACCTAGAGCAAGTACTGAATAGAAAGAGGATACATGAACATAAGAATGCCACTCAAGTTTCTTGTGTAACTTCCTGCTTTAGAATCAGAAAAGAAATGATAGAACTTTTCCGCTATATACTCTGCTCTTACATAAGCTGTGTTTGTAACTGCTAGGAGTTATTCTGGTAGATTCCTTCCTTCTTTCCCTTCCCTTCTTTCCTTTTCTTCCTTTCTTCCTTTTTTAAGTAGGCTCTAAACCCAGTGTGGGGCTTGAACTTATGATCCTGAGATCCAGTCACACGCTGTACTGATTGAGCCAGCCAGTCAGGTGCCCCATTCTGGTAGATTTCAAACTATGTTAGATGGATCTGATATTCATTATGTTTGAATTTTTAAAATCATCCTACGCCTTCCTTTATCAAACCCTATTGCAGTAAATTGCTTAATTCTCCAGCATGGAAGCAAAAATGGCAGATGGTAAATTCTAACCAGGTGTTTCTCTTAAATGTTTATTGATAGCTTGTGAGCGCCCAACCAGAGATAACAGATGGATGTCAGATTAGAAACAGGTATCTAAAAAAAAAAAAAAAAAAGAAACAGGTATCTACTCACAGAGACATTTTTCAGGGACAAAAATAAGAGCCCTTCTGGATTTGGGGGCCTGTAAATATACTGATGTCAGAAGCTATATGAATCAATGAGCATGCATGGTGACCAAACTAACATCTTAGAAATTCCTAATGCCTACAATTTGATAGGAGGATGTAAGAGTAGGAGACAAGGTATAGAAATGAGCTGTTGTCTAAAGAATGGAAAATTACCCCCTCTTTTCCCAAATTAATCCAAAGTAAGCAAGATAGACATACATCTAATGTAGAAGGAACATGCAGGATTTTTGAGAGTATTAGGCTCTACTAAGAAATAAATAAGAGTAAGAGCCAAAAAGTTTCAGGGAAACTTTTTAGAAATATTATTTAGAAAAAATGTTCTACTTCCTGTTAAATGTTCAATATTGTGTTTAGAACTAGTCCCTGGAGAACCATTTGTTTCCTTCTAAGAGAAAATTCCATGGGAGTTTCCACTCTAGTGCATCAGCTAGTTGGCTTGTCCAAAACAGAGAGGTTCTACAGATGTTCCATCTTGTGTGGCTAACAGAGGAATGGACTCTTAAATGTGTGTGTGTGTGTGTGTGTGTGTGTGTGTTTAAGAAGCAGGGGAAATAGAGAACATATAGGGGAGGCCATGTATATCTCCACTGTGAGCTTCCTTTATCCTGATTTCTAATATGATAGCAGCATAAACAGTCTTGCATTCCTTAGCACCTCAAAAAATATGGGAGGGGTACCTGGCTGGCTCAGCTGGTAGAGCATGACTTTTGATCTCAGGGTCTGAGTTCAAGCTGCATGTTGGTTGTATGAGCTCACCTTAAAACAAACAAACAAACAAATGGGAGTAGGGGTATGGTTTCTTGTGGAAGCAGCACTGGAATAGACACTAGGATACCTGGATTATGGCTTTGACCCTGGATGTATGATGGTAGATAAGTCATTTCCCTGTTTCTTTTAAGAGGTCAAATTAGATCATCTTTAAGATCCTTTCACCTCTGATCATTTAATAATACTGTGATTTATCTCAACTTTCTCCGTTTGATTAAAAAGTGAAGTTTTAAGTGAAAGTAAGCTGATCGTGGCTGCTTTTTCCTCAAAGCTGTCTCAAGAGTCCCAGGAAAGATACCCTAGTTCCCTCCTAAAGATAGTCTCATCTGCCCAGGGTCTTGCTCTCTTTTTTTTCTGATAATGGTTCCCCACCAACTAAAACTACCCCCAATTCCTGCGTCACCAGATGTTGCCTGAAGTGGGCACTGACAGAACACATGCTACTCCATGGCTATCTCAGGATAGCAGATAGCAGATCCCAGACTTGTCCATGCAACAAGCTCCACATGGAGTCCTGCTCAAGCCTTCTGCCTTCTTCAAACACAACAGATAATCATTTTCCAGCAGACCTTTAGCTCCATGGAGTGCCTTTCTAGGTCTGCCAGACTTGAGGGTTTTTTTGTTTATTTGCTTATGTTCATTTAGGGCAAATGGCCTGCTTTCTCTGTTTTGGGGAGGCAGGACTTATCATATTGAGTAAAATGTAAACTTCTGAGGGGGGGCTATATTTTGTGAGCAGCAGCATTTGGCCGTATTCCCTTGTTTCTGATATTTTACACTAGCCAAATCAAGACCTTCACTCACTCACTTTCTACCAGCAAAAATTGAAAGAAGAAAACATTTGCCCATGTTCCACTTGCATACACAAACATTTATTCACAAAACAATCCCATTTACAACTGTACCCCCCAAAACAAAAAACTATGAATAAACTTAACCAAAGAGACGAAAGACTCTGAAGAGTATAAAACACTGATGGAAGAAATTAAAGAGGACACAAAGAAATGGAAAGGCATTCCATATTCATGGATTGAAAGAATATTATTAAATGTCTATACTACCCAAAGCAATCTACAGATTTAATGCAATCCCTATCAAAAAACCAACATTTTTCAGAGAACTAGAACAAATAATAATAAAATTTGTATGAAATGACAAAAGACCCTGAATAGTAAGGAAATTTTGACAAAGAAAGACAAAACTGGAGGTTATCACAATTCCAGGATTCAAGTTATATTACAAAGCTGTAGTAAGCAAAATAGTATGGCTCTGGTACAAAATAGACATATAGATCAATAGAACAGAATAGAAAACCCAGAAAGAAATCCACAATTATATGGTCAATTAATCTTTGACAAAGGAGGAAAGAATATACATTGGGAAAAAGATAGTCTCTGCAACAAATGGTATTGGGAAAACTGGAGAGCTACATGCAAAAGAATGCAACTGGACCACTTTCTTTCACCAATACAGAAAAACTCAAAATGGAAAATGACCTCCATCTAAGACCTGAAACCATAAAAATCCTAGAAGAGAGAACAGGCAGTAATTTCTCTGACATCAGGCCATAGCAACGTCTATTTTTCTAGATATATCTCCTGAGGCAAGAGAAATAAAAGCAAAAATAAACTATTGGGACTACATCAAAATAAAAAGCTTCTGCACAGCAATGGAAACAATCACAACTAAAAGGCAACCTATGGAATGGGAGAAGATATTTGCAAATGACATATCCCACAAAGGGTTAGTATCTAAAATATATAAAGAACTGATACAACACCCCCAAAACAAATAATCCCATTTAAAAATGGGCAGAAGACATGAACAGACATTTCTCCAAAGAAGACATCCAGATGCCCAATAGACACATGAAAAAATGTTCAATGTCACTCATCACCAGGGAAATGAAAATCAAAACTACAATGAGGTATTACCTCACACCAATCAGAATGGCTAAAATAAAAAACACAGGAAACAACAAATTTTGGTGAGGACATGGAGAATAAGGAACTCTCTTGCACTGTTGGTGGAAATGCAAACTGGTTCCTCAAAAAGTTAAAAATAGAACTACCCTATTATCCAGGAATTGCACTACTTGGCATTTACCCCCACAAAAACACAAAAACCCTAATTCAAAGGAATACATGCTCCCCTATGTTTATTGCAACTTTATTTACAACAGCCAAGATATGGAAGTAGCCCAAGTGTGCACTGATAGATGAATGGATAAAGAAAGTGTGGCATATAAATACAATGAAATATTTTTCAGTCATGAAAAGGAATGAGATCTTTTTTTAAAAAAAGATTTTATTTATTTATTTGACAGAAAGAGATCACAAGTAGCTGGCGGTGGGTGGGAAGCAGGCTCCCCACTGAGCAGGGAGCCCAATGCGGGGCTCGATCCCAGAACCCTGAGATCATGACCTGAGCCGAAGGCAGAGGCTTAACCCACTGAGCCACCCAGGAGCCCCAAATGGGATGAAATCTTGCCATTTGTAACAACATGGATGAAGTTAGAGTATAATAGTAAGTGAAATAAGTCAGAAAAAGATAAATAGCATATGATTTCACTCATATGTGGAATTTAAGAAACAAAACAAATGGGTAAAGGAAAAAAAAAGAGAGAGAGAAAGACAAACCAAGAGACTCTTAACTATAGAGAACAAACTGATGATTACCAGAGGGTAGGTGGGTGGGGGGAATGGGGGAAATAGGTAATGGGGATTAAAGAGTACACATATGATTAGTACTGAGTAATGTTATAGAATTGCTGAATCACCACATTGTATACCTGAAACGAATATAACACGGCATGATAACTATACTGGAATTAAAATTAAAAACTTAAAAAAATTGTTTACACACACCTTGTGTCTAAAAATTCAATTCAGGAATCACAACCTACCCTTCATAGTCTCTAAAGTACTATGAGGGTTCTGTTCTAAAGATCCATCTTAGCCCAGCTGCGTGAGCCAAGCCAAATAAAAACAGAGGCTTACTCTAGTTAGATGGATAATTAACTCATACGACTGCTGAAAGAACAGAGTGTTTCTTCCTTTGTACTGAGGAAATCAGATTGGTTAGAATCTGAGCACTAGAGGAGACTTAGCTTTTAGACTTGGCTAATAAGTCTCGTCCAATTCTGTCATCCACAGAAGCAAAACTTGAGGCTCAGGGAAAGGGAGGGCTTGCTTAAGGTCACATAAGTGCCCCAACCAGGGCCTGAACCTCTATCTCCAGTAATTCACTGAATTATAATACACTCTGTCTTTATTTCAAGCAAGTAGAAGATAACAGTTTCCAGAAACAACACAAAAATAGTGAGGTTTCCTGTATTAAAGGGGAGAGTGTGACTGAGTTTGGTCAGCCTATAATCAGA